ATTTATAGTAATTAGTTACAGTGATCATCACAGTGAAGTGTGATTCATTGCAGTGATTAGTTACAGTGATTGTCACCATGAAGTATGATTATTTAAAGTGATTAGNTAGTTACAGTGATTGTCACCATGAAGTATGATTATTTAAAGTGATTAGTTACAGTGATCATCACAGTGAAGTGTGATTCATTACAGTGATTAGTTGTGGTGATTGTCGCCGTGAAGTATGCTCGTTTACAGTGATGAATGACTATGATCGTCATGGTGAGGAATGAAAAGTTGCAGTGATCATCACAGTGTGATTAGCGCTCTAGCTGGGAGCTGCAAAACTAATGACCTTCATTCCCATCCAGGTACCTACTAATGGCAATCTCTCATGCTGATGATTGTCCAGCCTCACACACACACACACACACACACACACACACACACAGACACACGCATGCACGAAGGGTGTCCCCATTTTGCATCTACACACAATCACCATCCATGTTTAATTCAGGATGACCGGCCAGCAACGGCCACTCGTCTTTCCATTCCTGCCCGCTCCTTATGCAATTAGATTTTTTTCTACGCCTCATTTACTCTCAGCTCACGCTTATCGTGATTCTCATCACATCAACTCACGGCAGCTTAGAGATCTGTCAGTCTCGACGCCGACGTTTACCCAGACTTTAACCCTGACCGCGCTGCTCACTAGCGAAACCTCTGTCACTGGCCCTCAGGATGTATCCTGGAAACGGTCGTCGCCGTTGGAGACGGCAGAACCTCCAATAGGTCCGTGGGGTAACTGAGATGCAGGCATGTGGATTCTGGTCTGGACCAAAGGCAAGGCGTGTTAGTGATGGACATGGGATTTAGTCATTACTATTGTTACCTGACGCAAAAGATTCATTAGAGCAGACGTAAAACCAGGGCATGTCCCCCCTGAGAAAATATTACCTTGCCCCCCCGCTAGGGTTTTTACTTCCATCCTGAAGAAATATGGCCCCTATAATGTCGAAGGATAATCAAGGGGGTGTATAATGTTCCCCAAGCATATAAATGTTATTTTGTCATATTATGGGGCCTCTATAAAGTGGTGCCTCCCTGAATCTGCTGGGTATCGATACCCCCCCTCCAACACTCCTGTACATAATCACACAGTAATGACCGGTACACATACGCATGGCACTAAGAGCTGATTCGTCAACCTAATATTTTCTGTGTTCTATTCTTTCATTTTTTTTGTCATGCTTTATGAGTCTGTTCCTCGCCACTGCTATGTGTGTCTAAACACTTTTGTTTCTGCATGGGCACCCAGTCTGTGGGTATAATTACGGTGCGTGTGATGTGTGTATTAGCGTGTGTGTATATATGTGTGTGCGTGTGTGTGTGGTTACAAATCCGTGCCGGTGTGATCAGACCGCCTTGTCTGTGTTGCGCCGGCATCTGTACACATCGCGGCAGGATGGCACCGGCGGGGCTCCTCGCCAGGCCCCCGCCCCCCCCCCCCCTCGCCCCCCCCCTCCCCGGCCACCCCCTCTCACCTGCCAGATGACGAAGAAGATGAGCGCGGCACAGAGCACCAGTGTCAGCATGTAGCAGAAGGCCGCGAAGGTGAATGCCATGGCCGCCCCCGCCAGCCTTGCAGCCTGGAGGGTCGAGAAGGCGGGGGGGGAACCCCCCTAACCCTTCTCTCCGCGCCGCTGTCTCTCTTCTCCCCCCTGTGGAGGTTCTCCCCTCCTCCCCCACCCCCTTTGTTCTCCCCTTCCCTCTTCAGTCTGACCGCGTCTTCTCTACCGGTTTGGGGGGCAGGTATCCCGTTCCTTCGGTGCCCGGTGGAGCTGCCGCTGCCCCCCCCTCCCCCCCTCCTCTGGTCCCCTCTTGCTCTCCTCCTTCTCCCGCTACGCCTCCCTGCGTCTCTGGCCTCCCCGTGCGTGATTCTGAGAGTGCGGCTCGCAGTTCCTTAAGGACCGAGGATGTCGACCAACATCGGGAATTTTTTTTTCTTGGCTGCCTTCTTAAGGTTCCTCTCTTTCACTTTTCACTGATCACTCTCTCGTCTCGTCATCCCGCCTCCTGTGAGCTGTGCCCAAAACACACATATTGCCGCTAATTAACAAACAAAAACACATAAATAACACATATCCCTGTGAAAGAGCAACAATGTTGCACATGTGTCATTTACAAAGAATGACTCTGTGTTTCTTAAACGAGCATCTACTGTGACCAACAAAAGTAATTACTACAATCTTTTGTTTTACATCAAAAACAGCAATGAGCTTATGTTTAATAACAAAAACAACAAACGTGTCTGTAAAAACTACAGTACAGTATTATTTATTTTCGACATACATTCCTTTTAATCTTTTTGAGGATTACATTTCGAATCACTCATCTATCAAAGTAACAGTAACATTCTAACAGCAGCCAGGTAATAAAGCAACAGAATGATTTCTTGTGACAAGAAAGCATTGTGAAAAAAAGATATTTACAAGGGCGAGAAGAATGTGATAGTATTTACAATAGGCTGTTTATTACTTAATCAATACATCAGAAAACAAAGTCAATGCCTTGAAAAACCAACTCCTCTCTGTTCTGATGATGAAAAAAAATGGATTATGATTCAATGAACATGATTTCATATCCACAGCGATGATGTCTGGAGAATAGTAAGAATGGTGAAAATGTCTTCATTACTGACTATTGTTTGGTGCACGGAGAATGACGGCAACAGCCGTGGTGACGATTATGATGATGATGATGATGATGAGCGTAGATGTGCAGGAATACGGCCGTGAAGATACCTGTCTCTTCTGGCAGGAGGATTCCTCACCGTCTGTCCCAGCAGGAAACCCTTTTCTCGTGGTGTCTCTGTCAATTTGGGTCCTCACCATCCCAGAAATATTTGTTGTATCTCTCTCCCTCCCTCCCTCCCTCCCTCTCTCTCTCTCTCTCTCTCTCTCTCTCGCTCTCTGTCTGCTTGTCAGCTGCTTTCAGCAGATTTCTCCATAGTTTCTCTGGGAAATACAGCATGTGTGGTGTAAGGAGAAGAAGGAGAGAGGAAGCGGAGCCTCTTTTCTTCGTAAACGACGCTCGCCGCACCTTTGGAGGTCCACGGTTAATTTATCATCTCATCTCCCAACCGCTCCTCTTTTTTTTCTCCCTTTCTCTAAGAAAATAGAATCTTATCCTTCCCCGTCTCTGTCACCATCACTTCATCCTTGCCCGAATTCTCAAATTCTCGCAGGTTATGATAATGTCTGATACACCGTGAGCCAGCCTCCCCCCCCTCCTAAGCTCCCCTTTCTTATGTCTGTCTGCTGAGTTCCTTGTTCCCCAGAGAAGTAAGTGGGGGTGGGGGGGCAGGGGGCACAGCTAACCTTTTTTTCTATTAGCTTTCCTCGTTTATCTCTATCTGTCATCACATCCATCACATCTCATACTCCCTCTCTCCCTCTCTCCCACCTCCTCCACCCCACTTGTGCCCCTTGCTCACAAGGAGGTGATTAGGTCATGCTCTATGTAGATCTGTTTCTTTCTCTGCCTCACAGGCTGAAATCCTCTCTGTCTATCTTTTTCATCTCAATCTTTTACCCCCCCATCCCCCCGCTTAAACCTTTTGTACCCCCCTCCCAACAATTAATTAATCAGAGTCCCTGTTCTAAACAGTTTTAATCTTCGCCTTGCTCATTGTACGCACGTACATCTTCGTATTTGATATCTTTTTTCCCTTTCACCCTCTTCTTCCTTAAATGGCGCTGCTTCCCCTACGTGTGCTTATTTTTTCCTCTCCCATTAATTTTCCTTTTTCCCCTGTGGATTTCTCTGATTCTCCCCTAATGATAAAACCATTAAATATTAATAGCATCCAAAAAAAAAAAAAAAAAAAAACCCACAGCAAGACAGACAATGATTAAATTAAAATCAAGAACAAAAGCAGGTATGTTGATATCAGTTAAAATTGTTTAATTGATATAAGTTTAAATTGTTAAACTATTGTTAAATAATACTTTGAGTGTCTGGTGTTCTTATGGAACTCAAGAACGCGATGTTGATTGCAGACTCATGAATTATTATCAAAAACAATATTGCCTCAAGGGTCAAGGGTTTCTGTATTATCCTGTGCACGTAGCACAATGGGATTCAGCTCCCTGCAAACCACAGTACCAAATAAATACAAGACAACAGAGTTCTGTTTATATATTACAGCCATGGATTTTGTGTTGATGGCTATACAGTGGCCACACACACACATAAACACATCATACACACATGTGTATATATGTATATGTATATATTTGGAACTTTATCACACCATATAAATATATATAACATTTCTAATTTATGTTTGCTTGAAATCTACATCATATAATAAAATGCACACATTCAGGGAAAATGAATTCAAAGGAATGAGGACAGGGATTTTTAATTTTTAAAATGTTAATGCCCTATCAAATTTTATTACATTTCCTGCCTTGACTGGGGACTCAACTGCATAAATACTTTAGTGAGGATGTCAATAATTATTCTGGCTCTTTATGTGACCCCGTATATTCCAAATTTATGCTTCTGTATCGAATTTGTAAGGGTAGTAATGTGGCCTATAATGGTTGCTTAAGTTTAAGTGTCGGAAAATACAGGCTGATTTTTCGGTTTACGTATATTGTCCAAATGGCGACATCTGGTGTCGGTTTGAGGCTCAGTGTATTATTTTAAATTTAAAGCTTAATTTTTAATTACCAAAACACAGAGATAGAAATTTTACTACTAAGATGGATGCAGGAGCAAATACACTGTGAAAATGAAAAAACGCAGGAAGAAAAAATATATTTCAAATATTGAAATAATTCTGCCTAATTAAAAAACTAATTGAATAATCAGTCGACAGTATTTTAAAAAACGGTTTAAACAGTTAAATCTTTGGAATATAACGCCGATATCTTAATTTGATCTTATTTTTAAAAACCTCATAAGTACGTTTTAGTTGCCCCGGAACTAAAGTTAACGAATTATGCTTCCTATACGGACGATTTTGCAGTCGTACAGTAGCGTGTACTGTAGTGATATTTATCTACTTTCTAAAGAAAACTGAGGTAGGCCTGTATTTTATCATGGCAGAGAAAAGTCGCGTGTGTTCAGTATGGGTTGGCACGGAAACAGGAATTTTAAAAGGTAAGTTCATGTTACTTATATAGGGTTGTTTGCTAAAATGAAGACTGTTGATAACTTGCTGAATAACACGTGGGTTTCAGGATTCAGCTGGGTAGAGGTGTGTATTGTACAAATACATTGTATTATATACTCTTACATTTTACCCGCATTTTTGTGTCTGTCTTGCGTTCACAATTACGCCAACATCGATAAGATTAAAATAGATTATTTCAATGTTAAAATGGGTAGTTTAGCCATCACAAGTTGAAATTGTGGATACAAGGCATCCCAACAAATGAAAGGTACCCAACCCGAGCTGGTTCAGTGAAATATCCAAGTGGCTGAAGGGAACGTTTATAACCAAAGATCATCACAATCTTTGTCTGCGTCGTATGGCACCAAATCAGTTGCGCTTTGACGACAGTTGTCAGCTAAAGTACCACTGTATAGAAATGTTAGCGCCGATGATACGTTTTAACGCGTGTGACTTTTCCCCCCCCTCTTATTTAGGAGTTAGCCTTGCAAAAAAGCAGGCATTTAACTTCTGTGAAATGAACTGCCTGAGCCGGGACCAGGAGGTGTGCGTCCTCTGCTGGGGTGATGCTCAGGAAACTGAGGTTTGTGAACATCGTAGACTCGTGTCCGGCATAGAAATGATGCTTTTATTCAGGGTTCTCCAGCTTTTAAGTACTGAAGGTGTTTGGGCTTGTGTGGTAATCGTTGTCTCGGTATGCATGCATGTTGCGTTGAAATGATTGTAGTACCGTCAGTTCCTTGGAGGCTGGATGAACTGTATAAGGTTTGGCTGCTGGACTGATACATTTTTGTGTTTCTTGACTCTGATGCAGGTGCTGGTGGGCTGCTCGAACGGAGAACTTAAGACATTCAGCACAGAGAAAGGGCTCTTCACGGAAACCCGGCAGTGCGGTCAGAGCGATGAGGGAAAATTTACCGGGCTCGCTGTGGCAGACAGGTATCATGCAGTCCTCTGTCTTCCAATGGCGCTCACTGCAGTTCTAAAGAACTTGGTTGCATGACGCTCGCCCCTAACAGGAGAGGATTATGATAATAACACAGAAGAGGTTGTACATTTGTCCCCTGTACAAAGTTCACAGTCACACCAGTGCTAATGTGACCTGTCCTCCATGCTGTTTGCAGGAAAGGCAGCTGAGTTGCATAAATAATTTACAGAATATGTTTAACTTCCAAGTGTCTGTAGTAATGGTTGTGAAAAAATAATATTTAAATGGCTAAAAGTATGTGAAGGGTTGTTAAACTTTCTGTACTGTCAGTCCCCTTGATGTCTTCTTTTTAACTGTTGTTTATAGTGCTTTGGTCACTTCTGTGGAGTCTGGACTTGTGAAGGTCTGGAAGGATGGTGCCACAAAGCCAGTAAGTCCGATTCTGTGAAGGAGCCGCTTAGCTGTAACCATGGCAACCTTTGATAAATGCAGACCTTTCGGAAAAACAGATATTAAATGCCGGGTGCTTTGTGCAGTAGGTTAATAGAATTTAATCTATAATTCAAAGGTTATTTTATATCAAATCCTTTTTAAATTTAATAAAACATTATGAAATTTTGTTTTTTCATCTCTAGATAAATTTGTGATGTAGGTGTGTGCCTCACCTCAAACCCCCCCCCCCCTTCTTCCCCCTCCCAACTGGGCAGGTTGAGATTAATGCAGGGCGCAGTGTGTGTCGGATGGTTCAGAATGCATTACAGCGCCACCATGTGGCCACAGGAGGGAAAGAGAACGGACTCAAAGTCTGGGACTTGGAGAGACCAGATGTTCCAGTTTTCACGGCCAAAAATGTGAGCTGGAACTGCTGTTGATTGATCTGCAATTAACTTTTAGTTTATTTTTTAGTATATTTTAGTATATTTTGTTTTGAGCATTCTATCATCATTGTGGTGTACAGTCTGTCAAATATTTACTGTATCTGTGGCGTGTAGGTGAGGAACGACTGGCTTGACCTTCGAGTGCCGGAGTGGGTGAGAGATCTGGCGTTTATCCCCGACTCGGAGAAGATCGTCACCTGCACGGGACACCACCAGGTTGGTGTGTGTGGCTGTCTCTGCCTATCGCTGACATCAGCCGTACCTATTCACTCTCGCTATGAATATTGCCCTAGTTGCTGGTACATTAAGGGGCAATATCAGGGATGGCGGTAAAGGTTTTGGGCCCCATGAAAGCGTATGATATCAGACCCCCAACCCAGACCAATCAGATTATGTTCCAAATTTTTTTTTATCACAGCAATCACTCAGTGGCCCTTGGAATCGTCCTAGCGTGACTCCACTTTATGGGGCCCCTGGACGACATAACTAACTAACTGTCAGGAACAAGTATCACATTGTACTTGTACCAAATAAAAAAACGCTTTGGAATTCTTACATCCTTGATGATGTTTCCGGGCCTGACTGTCCGTCCCCGTGTGCCGCCAGGTGCGTGTGTACGACCCAGCGTCCCCGCAGCGCCGACCCGTGCTGGAGGCCCAGTTTGGCGAGTACCCGCTCACCGCCCTCGCCCTGCCGGCCGGCTCCCCCTGTGTGGTCGTGGGCAACACGCAGGGGCAGCTGGCCTTGATAGACCTGCGTAAGGGTGAGTCGGGAGCCCCCCTGCGGCACCCCCGACGTGCGAGTGTAAAGAAGGTGATGCGTGAAGTAACCTCACCTCACTCCGTTTGCTGCAGGTCTGGTCAGAGGCTGCTTGAAGGGCCTGGCCGGGGGGGTCCGGGAGCTGCAGTGTCACCCCTCCCTCCCGCTGGTGGCTTCCTGCGGACTGGATCGCTTCCTGCGCATTCACAGCCTGGATGACCACTCTCTGCAGCACAAGGTGAGCACACATGCACACACACACACGCACACGCATGCACACACATGCACAGTCCATGCATTCATATCTTTATGGGGACTCTCCATTTATTTTTCTGGGCGTAACGCTAATCCCAGCAATGGCACCCTTAACCCCTACCCAGCCCTAACCTTAACCATGAGTAACCAAGCAAAATTCAAGACTTCTGGCATTTTTGATCACATCCACAGATTTTTGTAAAATGAAAATGTCCCCACAAGGTAAAAAGTTACAGGTTTTTATCACGTTGAGGGGAAATCTGGTCTCCATAAGGTAATAATTACAAAAACGCACACACACAGTGAATTAAGTCAAAAAGTGACTATCACTTAATTCAGGGGAGATTTTACTAAACTCTTGCTTTCCCGCTTTCCTGTTGTCTCAGGTGTATCTGAAGTCGCGGCTGAACTGCGTGCTTCTGTCGAGCAAAGATCTAGAGGTGAGGAGTGAAATCTCATGGGGTGTTTCTGTGGGTTGGGGGGTCTGGTTGGGCAGAGTTGGGGGGAGTGGGGTGTTTCTGTGGGTTGGGGGGTCTGGTTGGGCAGAGTTGGGGGGGGGGGGGTTTTCTCAAAATGAGCATTTTTCACTTGGCTGATGTCCAGTTTTGCGAGCCCTTCAGACGGACCACCTAGAACAGGGGTGGCCAATCTTATCCAGAAAAGGCCGCTGCGTATGTGGGCTTTCGCTGTGATTCGCTAATTAGGTCACGGATTAGAGCACTGATTGGCTGAAGAGTCCTCACACCTGGGACTGAGCAGCTGACCTAAATGTTACCCCAAAAACCTTTTGGTTATTCCACTCTGACCATTGGTGGATAAGATTGGTGACCCCTGGCCTAGAGGGTGGTTCAGTTGTCATACGCGGGGGACCCACGGCGCCGGTCTGACTCCCGTCTCACGGCTCTGATCCGCAGGCGTGTCCAGAAGCCGCGCCGGCAGAACAGGAGGTGGCGGAGGAGGAGGGGGAGGACGTGGAAGGTGAAGACGCGGTGTGGGACGCCATGGAGACGGTGACGGAGAGGAGAAAATCCCGAAAAGCGGACGGAGGCGACGAGGGAGCGGAGGAGAAGAGCACGAAGAAACGGAAAGTGAGGAAGTGATGAGGAGGAAGAAGTGGGCGTGGCCATGTATGCCCCGCCCACAGGAACTGAGACACCCGGGACGGCCGACGCCAACCGCTATGCCCTCAGCCCCCGAGTTTAGCGGCATGGGACATATACCCTCCTGGCGTGAACCTGCGGCATTTTTACAGGCTTATATACTTTCATCTCTGAGGTGGAAAAAAAATGCAGTATGTTCGATAATAATTGTTAATATTTTATGATGAATTCTCTCTCAGATAGTTCCTTTAAAGAAAGCATTTAGATATACCCGTATTGTGTCTTTTTAAAGGCAGTTTGGTTGGACACAGTAGTGATGTAGGCTGTCGGTTGGTGTGTTGAAGGGATGGTGGTCACTTTTTGGAGTGGGGGGGGGGAGGTGACTTTACCAGCTCTCTGTTATTGAATAAATGTAATTGTGTGAATCTGGATGCCCGAAGTCGCCACCCCCCTTCTTAAAACCATTAAACCATTGTTAATTGATATTGTGGGTATCAGAAGCATCACCAAGCATCAGATCGCTGAGCCCCCCCCCCCATAATGTAAAAACATGAACAGTGCTATTCTGAGCAGAACTCTCTTTGGACTTGGGTAGAGAAGAACTCAGAGGTGGATAGTTACGGTCTTCTAGAAAGTACAAATCCAGACCAAGATTTTGTTTCAGCCAACTAGTGCAGTCTAAAGAGTCTCAGTCACTGAATACTCCACTGATTGGCTGAAACAAAATCTTGGTCTGGATTTGTACTTTCTGGATCCGAACTATCCACCCCTGGAAGTAGCATGTGTTGCCTTGATTTGGGTCAGTAACACAAAACTTTTAATGTTGCTTAAGGCCCAATCCCAATTCTACCCCTTACCCCTACACTTACCCCTACCCCTCCGTTTGGCGCGTTCACGTGTAGGGGT